TCTGTTCCAAAAATTTATTAAAAGTACAAATAACAGATTGATGTAAATCTTGAAAGGGACTAACAACTTGTACATTTTATATTCATGTGTTATATTTTAACTCTAATTCTTTATAAACTCTATGTTATAAAGTGGTAACTAGATGTGGACATGCTAGGGCTAGACGAGAATTCCACTTTCCAGCTTAGATTTGTAAAGCAAGAGTTTTACTTTATTTATTACTGTCTTAATGTAGCTTAGAACAACCAAATCTCGTGATTGAGATTGGTTTATAGGTTAAGACAACCGATTATGATATCAATGAAGTAGGTAGTTAAATAGAACTTGCTTGTGCCACCGTTCGGGTTCCTATCATTGAAGCTTTGTTATATGAATCTGCTATATTTTATTAATTATTACTACTAGTTGGTGTGTGGATATCAAATGGTGGAGCAACATCTTCTCATGAAAATCCACTTGTTTGGAGGAGCCCACCCATACTCTTGTACAGGTAATGAAAAAAGAAAAAAGAAAAAAGAAAGAGAACAGTGTGTGGTGAGTGTTGTGTGGCGAGTTCATGGAGAAATTTTAGGAGTAAATTTTTTTGGGATTATTCCAAATTTTTTTTTTTTTTGAGACTTGTCTAACTTATATATTTGTTTTGCAGATTCGGCATCGTTATTTAATCGTAAGAACCAATTACGATCATATGAACAATTGTCAGTATAATTTGGCCTGTCGTCATAGGATCGATTACTACTTTCAGCAGAAGAGAAAGTTTCGACGTTTTTCAGACTTGGAGTTCATCATACACCCTGTTAGTCAACATTGCCCGTATCTTCCCTGCATTGACAACTTCAAGTAGTGTTGGATCGAACGAGGTAATGATTTATTTGTGTTTAGTTTATGAGGTTTAAATGTGTGTATGTGTGTTGGTAATGTGTTTGTTGATTAGTATGGTGTCCCAATCTTAGTGGTTGTTCTCACCGTACTGTTATTAGATGAGTGATAATGTGAACAGGTTTGTTGAGATGACCCACAAATTTCTGGTCCTGTTGTCTGAGTGGGTGAAAACTTTCCACGGTACTTTAATAAAAACAGTAGATTACTAGGAAATGTTGGATGACTTATCATCATTGGCTGGGAAGAGACTCAACGTGACACAATTGGCCTTTAAGTACTTTCGCCTGAGAAAAGTATATCAAGCATAATGGAAATTGCTTTAACACATGAGTTTTGGTTGGGATCATGAGTTGCAAACTCAAACGTGTCCCTTACAGGTTTGGCAAGAATATATAAAGGTAAATTTTAAAATTTTTAATTCATATTAATCAACGACACCATATTTTTACGATTTTTTTTTTTTGGGGATTGACAAATATTAATATATGTTTATTTTTCATTACCAGTAAAACCCACAGGTGCAACAATTCTTTCACAAGAGACTTCCTTATAAGGAACTTTATAAAGTCATATTTGAGAAGCAAATTGCCATAGGGAGATATGCGTACACATCTACGTCTCAACCAGTGGAGAACTTCACTTCTTCTAATTAGGGATCGGTTGACATTAATGATAGTGACTTCGAACCTGATCCGGATTGGACGACAGGGGAAAAACGGCTAAACACATCTAGTCATGCAAGACTGAGAAATAGGAGGAAGAGAGGTGGCCCAAGACAGGCACTTGTGGATGTCATTGGCAGATTGACGAACGTGCTTGTGGAGAGGATGAGTATAGGATCGAGGGCTAGCAATCGCAGTAGAGATGAGGGGGACAAAGAGAACACTAGTGCTTTATCTGATACGTTTTCCATGAGTCATTGTATTGACATCTTGACGGCCATGCAAGTACCCACAGAGTTTTACATACCGATTGTCAAGCACTTATATCAAAATCTAGGGCGACGAGAGGTATTTGTAAAACTCCCGCCCGAGGAAAAGGCTAATTGGATTTATAACGATTTTCGCAATTTGTAGATAACCTTGTATGTCCTAAGTGTTTACCCAAAGTTTTGTATGTGCCAGTGGGCACTTATCCTTTTACGGCTAAACCAAACTTTTTTTTTCAGCACCTTGATTTGAAAATGTCCCCAAATGCCTGCTACTGTATGAACTTATTCATTGTGCTATTATTTTATGTGAGATAATATGTTTCATATGAGTTTGGGATTGTAATTAGAATTAAAAATTGATTGTTATATTTTGCTAAGTACTACAACAACTGTTAAATGTTGATAAATGTTTTGCAAATGTGCAGGTTTAAATGGCGTCGTCTAGGCGTATAGGAAGAAGACGATGTACTGCAAATGACAAAGAAGAAGTACTGATAGATATAACCATTGCACTGTGCGCTATTGCCGCATTAGAAACAGATGGGTGTCAACTACGACATGCATCCATATTAACTAGTCATGATTACATGTTGGAAGTACTCAATGGTCATGATGACAGAATCTTTGACAAATGCTGCATGGACAAAGACTGTTTTACATACTTATGTTGCATTTTGGCACAACAAGGGAAATTGCAACCAACTCGGAGGATGAGTATTGAAGAACAAGTTATGATATTTTTTACAATCGTTGGTAAAAACGAGACAATCAGAACGATGATGAAGGATTTCCAAAACTCGGGTGATATGATCTCTAGATATGTTGGCAAAGTTTGCGAGGCAATATGTGAGTTGAAGACAGAGTTTATCAGGCCACCTGACTTCAGTAATGTTCCACTGGAAATATCAATCAACCGAAAATATTACCCCTTCTTTAAGGTACTTCTTCATTATGTTTTATATTAGTGGATAGTTAAGTTCATTGTGTTATTAATGTTGATAGTCAGTTAATATTACTAAAATTCAATTTTGATGATAGGACTGTATTGGAGCCATTGATGACACACATGTATACGCTTTGGTTCCCCAGGAATTTGTCGATAGGTACCGGAGTCGCAAAGGAACGTTGTCACAGAATGTAATGGCTGTATGTGACTTTAGGATGATGTTCACTTATGTCGTCATTGGGTGGGAAGGATCTACGTATGATTCAAGAGTTTTAAATTCAATTCTTGATGATCCTAATTCTGGATTCCCAAATCCTCCACCAGGTATAAGTATTTTCTTGACGTATTATAGTGTATTGGCTCCACTTTTGAGGCAATGACATTCAAATAACATGTGTGATTTTATTACAAGAAAATATTATTTGGTTGATATCCAAATAAAGAGGGGTTCCTCGCCCCTCATAGGCGATGGCTTACCATATTTCTGATCACGCAGTAACCGAAGGGGGCCACAAGAGTTGTTTAACTACAGACATGCATCACTCCGCAATGTTGTCGAGAGAACCTTTGGTGTTTTAAAAAGAAGGTTCCATATTCTCAATGGAATGAACAATTACCCGTTGGACAAACAAGGGAAGATGGTTATGACATGTTGTGTACTTCATAATTTTATCAGAATGTATAATATGGAGGACCCTATCTTCAAATGGTATACTAAAAATACGGCTAATGAGCAAGTATATTTTGATGGCCAAAACGGGGCAGAAGATGACGAAAATGGAGAGAGATCGAGTCAACCGTAGCAAGGTATTATAGACAAGATGACGACTGTACGGGACAACATAACGACTAAACTGTGGGCAACACATATGACTATGTCGTAGTTGTTAATGGAGTATATGTGTACAAACGATTCTAAGGGTTGATAATTTGTAGCTTTGTCATATATGTATTAATGTGGTGTTTTTAAACAGTTAGATTAATACTTGAAATTAATATGAGTTTTTTTTTTTTTTTTTTAATATTTAGTGGTTACGAAATTACCAATCAAATGTTTAATATTATTAAAATGTAAATTAATAAGTTTTTAGGTTATAATAATAAATTATTTTAACAAAATGCACAAAATATTATATTAAAAAATCATTTATAAAAAATCTATCAAACAAATATTCAACACAATTAACAAGGTCAAAATACTTTATCAAACACATTTTATTCAAATCTTATTCTTGTAATAATAACCCAACTTAACTCCCTAATACTATTTCAAAAATTCTATCAAAAATAACAAAACAAACACACCGTAGGTTGTGTTTGTTTTATTATTTTGAATAATATTTTTGAAAAAATTGAATTGAGCTATTATTACGAGAATATGATTTGAATTTGAAAATGTATTTGATAATATTCTGCATGTTTGGCTTAATATTTTTATCCCTATTCTGGATCCTATTCTCTAAATAATGTTTGGCACATTATTCCAGAAATATTACCGTATTTTTTTAATTACATTTAAACCCCATAAGGTTATTAATTTCACTAAATACCCCCTGAAAAAAAGTTTAAAAATTAACAAAAACACCCCCATCATCCCAACTTGTCAGATTCCGGCAACCACCTTCGGTGATAGCCGGAATCTGTACAACGGCCTAACTTCCAACCAGAAATGGTCGAAAGTTCACCGCTGTGGCCTTTTCCGGCCAGATCCACCATAGATCTGACCGGAAAAGGCCATAACGACGTGTTATGGCACAGATCCGACCGGTCTGTGCCGTAACGAAATTTTTCGGCCAGATTCCGGCGGTGGTGGCCAGAATCTAACACTGCAGGTGGTGGGGGTGTTTTTGTCATTTTATATGTTAGGGTCTTTAGTTAAATTAGTAAACCTAAGGGCTTTTTCACAAATTTTTAAAATTTACCTCGTAATACTCCCCTATCCAATAACCCAATACTATCCCTAAAATCCTATCCAAAATACTAAACCAAACGCACCCATTATTTTTTAATCTCCTCCATTTATTAATTTAATTAAACTCCTCCTGCTAAAAAATTGTCATGATTAAATGATTGTGGTTGGGTTCCTTAGTGGGTTGAGAATGGACTTTAGACTAATCTTCAAGCCCAAAGGTGTTAAAGACCGACACCCAAATAGAGAAATGGTGGAGATATTTTTTTGCTTTGTTTTTATTTTTATTTTATTTTATATCATTTTGTAGAATATTCAATATTGGAAATATTGTGACGCAAAAAGGTGAAAATTTGTTTAGAGATGAAGAACCGGTGGTGGAGATGTGACAACACTAACATGTGCAATTGTGTGCACTTGGTTTAAGCGGCTAGCCTAAGACTAAGCGAGGGGCAAGTGTATGTGGATTTAATGGACTCTGTTTCTCTGGTTCAAGGTGGATGGGTTTCAGACTGAATCTCAAGTGGGTTTCCCCCTTTCAGTCTAATTGTTTCACAACTTCCTCTTGCAGGCTCTCTTCTGCCTCTGGTGAGTGACTTAATTAATTTCTATATCTTCTGCCCCTTCCTGAACACAACAGAATTAATTGATTGGTTAAATAAAGAGAAGGTACATGGTTTATCAGGTTGATAAGTGGTGAGAGTGTCAACTTTTCTTTGTTATCAAATAAAAATGTTACTGGGTTTGGATTTTGTTTGGATGTTTGAACAAGAACTTTCAAGTCGTTTATAGTAATAACAACCAAAGCACTAAAACTTATTGAATGGAGTAAAACTGCCAAGTTTAATCTATTTTGTTACATGCTATGATCCTGAGGTTGCGTTAGTTTGATAACTCTATCCGGTTAATTTTCAGACTTAAGCATCACTTATCTCTATTACTATATATAAAAAAAAGATTTATCCACAATTATAGGTGGCGAGATAGTTTGTTTTTTCAATATGTTTTTCCAGTCCACATATCTTCAATCAGTATGTTTTATAGTAAGGCTTATATTGTATTTTGTTGTTAGCCAGTGTTTTGTTTGTAAATTTCATTTCTTTGTGGGGATTGTATGAGAGACTGTTGCTTCTGAATTTATGCAGTTCGAGGCAGGGAGGGTAGCTTGAACTCAGTAAGGTTGTCTTTCCTGTCTATAATTTCTGAGGAGGCTTCTAGCTATTCTCATGATCCTGCAAAAGCGTATGCTCGTTCATCTGCTGGTCCACAGACCTTAGAAAATGATTACTCAGAAACAGATAAAATTTCGCAGAAATCTGCGTCACAAAGAGGCCAAAATATGTGCAGCACATCGGATTATGGTTTACTAATGGAAAATCTTTATGTTTTAGAGTCAACATTTGCTGATTCGGATGTGTTGAGGTTGGAAAGAGAGATTCTGCAACAATTAGGAAGACTTGGAGCTCTTAAATTATTCAATACTTGTCTATCTAGGACACCAAAAACCTCAAGTATTTTTAATTTGTCTGATGTTCCTGCTGAGCAGACAATGAATGGCACAGTGGAGAATCACAAGGGGAAGATAATTATTCACTCTAAAAGGAAGGAAAAGAGAAAATCAAGGACAGAAAGAGTATCAGAAAAGTCTAGTAAAACTTCTTCAGTGTCATTGCCTTCAAAAGCCACCTGTGGAAATTTAGAGCAGCGCACTGTTTCTTTCACGAAAAGAAAATCAAACTCTAGAAGCAGAAGATCAATGATTGCTAGAAATGAGGCAGAGATGTCAAAGGGGGTTAAGGTTGTTTCCGACTTCTAGTTTGAAATGACTTTTCGTTCATCATGTCTGTGGGATATCTTTTTGATAATCTATTTTTGAGATATTACAGGTGGTTGCAAACTTGGAAAGAATCAGAACAACTTTGGAAGAAGAAGCAGGGCAAGTTCTTAGTTTGAGTTGCTGGGCTGAAGCAGCTGGAGTTAGTGAGAAGGTGCTGCGGCAGTATCTGTGTTTCGGTTGGTATTGCAGAGATGAGCTGCTTCAGAGTACGCGCTCCTTAGTGTTATACCTTGCAAGAAATTACAGGGGTCTAGGAATACCATTAGCAGACTTAGTTCAGGTTTCTTGACATGTTTTAGTTTGAAGAATTGCTACTGTGCACATAATCTTTCAATTTGTTTATTCCTTGACTAGACATCAATTAATGTTCCCCTATTGACAGGCCGGAAATTTTGGTGTTCTACAAGGTGCGGAGAGGTTTGACCATACAAGGGGATACAGATTCTCAACCTATGTTCAGTACTGGATAAGGAAATCAATTTCAAGGATGGTGGCACAGCATGCGAGGGGAATCAAAATTCCTGTATCTCTCTTTCTTATTTTGGAGATTGTTTTCTTGTACAATCATAATTTTTAATTAGAGCGGAGCTTGATTCATGTGTTGTTTTGGTGTCGTTACTTTTTGCAGTACACGCTAAGCAGGTCAATAAATAAAATACAGAAAGCTCGAAAAGCTTTGAACAGCAGCCATGGAAAATATCCAGAAGACATTGAGATTGCCAAGTTCACAGGTCTTTCTTTGGCTGAAATCAGATCAGCTAGCGAATGCCTGCGAGTTGTGGGGTCAATTGATCAGAAAATAGGGGATTGGCTGAATGCAAAATATTTGGTATGAGCAGAACTTAGTTTTCTTCTTCAAGTGCCTTGTTTTACATGTTAAGTCTCTCTAATTACAAGCTGTAGGTATGCTATTTTTGTCCTTTGGCCCAGGGCAATGAATTTATCATCATAATGTTTGGAGCCAATGCCTACTATGTTTGATAAAACTCTTTGATTTTGGTGGAATACCAAGTTTCTTGTATTTGTTTAATCACTCTTTTTTTCGGGAAGCCTTGGAAGATGGATCCTTTCTGTCTATGTCTCTCTTCCTTCTCTCTCTTAGGGAGGGGGATCCTTTATTTGGGTTGGGGATTTGATTGAGGTACAAGGGGATGGTGTTACTTATGTTCAATAACTTTATTAATATGAATGTGTATGCACATATGCACGTTTTATAAGTAAGAAAATTCAAATGGTACACCCCATTATATGTCTACTTGATTCCTGGCATCGTCTGCAAGCCTTGCATGCTAAAGTATTACATCTTCCTTTTTTATTTCTCCAAATAAGTATGGGAAGAATAATTCTACTAGTGGGTGCAAGTTTAATATGGGACACCACTATAGATGCAATCTTATTTACATATAAGTGATATTAGCATTTCGTATTTGTTAAAATTTTAGATATCAATTATTTAATTGACAGCAAAGTGTTTCATGGGAATGATAATGCAGGAATTTATGCCTGATTTGTCTATAAACGGTCCTGAAGAAATTGTGACAAGGCAACACATGAAGAAAGACATTTATAATCTTTTAAAGAATTTAGATTCAAGGGAGAGACAAGTATTGATGCTAAGATATGGGCTTAAGGATCATCGCCCTAGGTCGCTTGAGGAGATTGGGAAGCTTTTCCACGTGAGCAAAGAGTGGATAAGGAGAATAGAGAAGAAAGCCATGACAAAATTATCGGATGAAGAAACCTGCAGAAATTTAAGCCATTATTTGGATTTGTAGTTACCATTGAACTCGAGAAGCTCCCATGTTCTTCTTTCCCCAAAAAGAAAAAGGAATTGAGCTTGGGAAAAGTGGTTAATCTGAAGCAGGCCGGAAAGCTTTTCACCAGAGTGCCAACAGATTTATCACCTTGAACATGCAAATTAGTGAGATATGGCGCTTCCGTCAGAGGCATTATTCCACAAAGAGAGTTGATGTGAGTTTTGTATATTTTTGACCTAATAATTGATCTACCACATCAACTCTACAATGTAAAAAAATTTCAATGATTCATACATAATACTTTGATTTTGTTATTTCATTCTGGGTGAGGTTAGTAGAGGTCCTAGAGGATATACATGTATATTGGCTTTGTCACCATAATTGTACAATTCTTTTGTTGAGGTTAGACGAACTTCAGACATTATTATCTAGTGTGTTGTATGCTATAAATCTACAATTCATTCGGATTACTTCATTCCTTTGTCCTGTATGGCTTTGTCTGCCATTT